AAGGAAGTTGAATGAAAAAAAGTTGATTGAAAGTCAAAGTGTATATGCACACATACAACCTTAATTATGCATGTTTTGGTTTTCCTACTGTGTGTAGTAAAAATCAAGCCTTATGGTTGAAATCACACATAACTACACTTGTATAGTTGAGCTACGTAGATACATAAACTTTTCTTTTAAGATACAAGGAGATGGTTAATCAAATAGCTCGAATTGTACCCTAAAAAATAGAAGTTTATTAAATCATTATATTTATGTACAAAGTTCTGGTGCAAAGTTTTGGATGCAGGGTTCTATGAAGAATCAATGGTGCAATACTAGTCGTAATAATGACTTCTCTACAAGATGAACATTTGATGAGGAAAATAGCCATGAAGTTTGAAGATGATAATAGATGAAATTTGTTTGAAACTCAATAATGTGCATGTGTTCACTTCGTAGTTGTTCGTAGTGTTATGGGTACAAATGTTTGTGGAAAAAGATGCAATAGAATAGGTAATTCCGATTCTTTATGACACATGGTTAGTCATTAGGAGATTAGTACTAATGAACATTGAAGTGTTGTATAAAGTAACTATTGAATAAGATCAATGTTAGAAATGCTACCACAAATGTTCATGAGATTTGTTTATGAAAGTTCAATATTTGGATGATGTTGTATTTGAATATGCACTTACAATGTAATCAAATGCATCTTTATACTGAATATAATGCACGAGGATGGCCGGATATATGCACATACATCTGAAATTAAATTTGATATTGTGCATTTTAAATCAAATGGATTAGAGGACAACAACAAAAAGTTGGAGATATATGAAATGGAGATGCATGTACTAGTAAGATGCAAAAGAAAAGGAAGATCTAAAAGGTGGGTCCACAAAGAAGAACAAGAGAAGGCTTGATCAAGCGATGCATCAATTTTTAATAAACATCCCATTTGAAGCAATTGTTATATTAGGACACGTGAAACTATTTTTTTTTTTTGATAATGAAGTTTCGAAGTATTTTTTTTATTGTTGGTTTATGACAATTTAAATGGTGTGTGACTATCTAAGTTTTAGATGCAATTAAGTGTTAAATGAGTTCGGATATAAACATTAGTTCAGCAACTTTAACATTTTGAGAAGGTATATTGAACTATGCATTACGTAGCATATGATGATGCACTATTCTGATACGTGAGGTGCATATTCTACTAAAAAGTGTTGAACACATAAGTTAGATTGATGAACATATGGAAATATTATGCATATAAATATATTGAACAATGCATTTGAGTGTGTTATAAAGTGCAGATTGATTTTTCAAAAAAAAAAGTGCAGATGGAATGAAAAATGGGTGACCGTAGAATGTTTGACAATGAATCAAACATGTGTACAATACAAAAAGCTAAAATACAATTAACAAAAGGTAAAATTCAACTCATTTCAAAATTTAAGTGTTAAATAAGTTCACATATATACGTTAGTTCAGCAACTTTAACATTTTGAGAAGGGATACTGAACTATGCATTACATAACATATAACGATGCATCATTCTGATATATAAGGTACATACTATACTACAAAGTGTTTAACACATCGGTTAGATTGATGAACGTATGGATATATTTTGCAAACAAATATATTGAAATATGCATTTGAGTGTGATATAAAGTGCAAATTGAATGAAAAATGGGTGCTAGTAGATTGTGTGACAATGAATCAGACACGTATATAGTGCATAAGCTAAAATACAATGAACAGAATGTAAAATTCAACTCATTTCTGAAATTTATTTACAATATACTACGTATCAATACATAGAAGAAGGTAGCTAAACAACATAACTAAAGAATTATATTAATCTTATGGAATCATGTTTGTTCAAGGGGCAATTCTTGCTATCATGATGTACATTGCACGATCTACAGAGCTTTTTGGGATGTTTTTTTCTACAATATACACCTTCTTCGAAGAGTTGATCCTCATACCATAATCTTTTTTTCTGGAAAATGAATAACCACATAAATAGAAAAAACGTGAGAGAGTGATTCAAGAAACAAATCATTCATTTCTTGTGGCAATTGCATTAGAACACAATTCTAATGACAATTGTGCTATTAAACATATTGATTTCACTAAACAAATGCAATCTACATCGGGCATAAATGCATTACATCTAGAGAGTATGCAAACAACGAAAAAAACACCTCAATACATATAGACATATTAAAGTTATTTTGATATAACAACAAAATAGCAGTTCGAATAAATGCATGATATGCATTATGTGTATTAAAAAATTACTTAAACAATAGAGTCAAATCAAAATAAAGCTACTGTATATTACTAGACATACATGTTCAAACTCCAATATATGGTGAAAAGAGACATAAGATCATAACCACTTTAAGCTTATGAATTAAATTTAAATAATAAGTTCTTACGTTGAGACATATGAATTAATTAGTTTTATTATCACATTAACTAATCTGGTCATTAAAAAGCACTGCAGAGCACTATAAACATATTACATTACTAATGCACCATTCTTCAAATATCATTGCATAGTACATAAAAATATGCAGACCAGAAAAATAAAATTCCAATAAAATGAAAAATATTAAAATATTAAGAAAATTCACATTAACGAAGGTGAAGTTTGGATAACATCATAGTTTATACAACACCAAATCCATAAACGAAACAAGCAATGATATGTGAAGGGAAGAAACACAACATTATCAACATTTACTGGTGGAAAGCCACACCAGATTATCAACGTTTTAGGCTTATTGAATAAATTAAGAAAAACAAAACGATGATGAATACCTGATTCCATGAGGTTCTCGTAATGACTGCCATGAAAAAATAGCTCGGGCAAATGATGATCATGGCGGTTATGAAGGAAAGCTGTGAGATGGAAATCACGTAATCTATTGATCGACAAAGAGGAAATTAAGAAAAAGAATGGAGAGAATCGGTTATGGGAATGGAAAGTTATTAACGTGATTATTTTCCATTAATAAAACTACCTTAAATGACTAAAAGCCCCTCACCTATCCTGCATTTGTTGTTTTGATTTTCCATCAATCGCACCCTGATCTCATGTGAATGGATGGCCAAGATTAATTTGCACTTTGTAAATTAAGAGTAGTTTGTATATGATCCTTAATCTATATATATATATATATAGAGGGCTCTTCTCATCAGGCCGGCCTGACGGGCTGCCCCGTCCGGCCGAGCCCGTTTGGGCACCTTCCCGGTGGAATTTTTTGATGAAATTTTTTGAGCATGTTCCTCATCAAGTCTAGTTTGTCCATACCAAATTTCAGCTCAAAATTCGATCGGGAAGGTCGTCAAATGATTTTTTCAAGTTAACTGGTCCGGAAAATACATATTCCGGACCAGTTAAGTTGCAAAAATCATTTGACGACCTTCCCGATCGAATTTTGAGCTGAAATTTGGTATGGACAAACTAGACTTGATGAGGAACATGCTCAAAAAATTTCATCAAAAAATTCCACCGGGAAGGTGCCCAAACGGGCTCGGCCGGACGGGGCAGCCCGTCAGGCCGGCCTGACATGAAGTTTTCTCTATATATATATATATATATATATATATATATATGGTGCATTCTGCGCACATATATTGTGCAGTATGTTTCCAGAATTTATTTGACTGCCTTCCCGATGGAATTTTGAGCTGAAATTTGATATGGACAAACTAGACTTGATGAGGAACATGCTCAAAAAATTTCATCAAAAAATTCCACCGGGAAGACCCTCTGATGGGCTTGTCCGCACGGGGGTTCTCATCAGGAGTTCCTGATGTGAATTGCCCTCTATAGATATATATATATATATATATATATATATATATATATATATATATATGCATGGGAGCTTTAATTCAATCGGAACTAACTAATACTAGTAATAATTACCGTAATATATACATAGATCACACTTTATAAAAGAGAAAAGGGCAAAAATGTGGCCTAGAGAAGGCGGTGGATATTTCGTCAAGGATGAGATTGAGCCGTTGACTCACGTGGAACGACAATTTGAAGAACGATATAGGATAACTTTGATGTTCCTGAAGGGTTTGCCAGGTTAATTACTCATTTACTCATATCTTCCCATAAAATAATTCTCACTTTGATTTGAATGGGAGTTCACAAAATGTAAATAAAATAATAATGTATGGTTGTAGTTGAAATAACAAAAAGTAAATAAATTGTATAGTCGCGTAAAACTTTTCAAAGTGAGAAATTAAATTAGAACTATTTTGACACAATCCAAAAAGAAAATGAGAACTACTACCTACCTAAGACGAATGAAGTAATTATTTATTGTTATTTACCAATCTACATTTCCCTTTTACCTACAAACTACTATTATACTCCCTCCATTCTTTATTATTTGTCTTGCATTCCTTTTGTGACGTTTTTAATTATTTGTCTCTCATTCCCTTTTTGGTAAGTTTTTTCAATCAATATACCTTTATACCCCCACTTTTATTACCATTATCCCTTTCTCTTTCCTACTTTTTCTTTTACCTACAACTGATTACACCTTTTACACTACCTCAGCTACTTTCCTCTTAAAACTCGTGTCAAAGCCTAAGAGGACTAATATTACAGAACGGGGGAAGTATTATCAAAGCTACAATAAACTTTGCTATCATTTTTTCTATATAACAAATCACACATTACTTATATTACCATCATAATATAATAAAATATTTAAACAAGTCGTTCTTCTAATACTCTATATCCACTCGCATTAAACGGGCACTTCAACAAGTGACTAATAATTACTACCTTTGTCTCATTTTATGTGTCTCCTTTGATTTTGGCACAATTTTTAATAAATTGGTTGAAAAGATAAAAGTTGTGGTTGAGATTTTAGCATAGTAAAGTAATTATTGTGAACCACATATTCCTTTCCAGAAAGGGAAAGGTGACACTTATTTTGAGATAATCCAAAAAAGAAAGTAAGACATGTAAAATGGGACGGAGGAGTACTACATTACACTGTCATGGTAAGTTAAGTTTACAAATCGAACATAACTTACTATGATTTCATTATTATTCTAGTCATTAGTCACATCTTTTTTTATCGTCAAACAGATGGCTTAAACTAATATCGATCACAACATTAAGGAGGGGTACAAGATAACAAAAGGACCACATGTAACCATCCGCCCTTGGCCGAGACTCTGAGTTAATCACCTTTGACGAAGCAATATAACTCGCTAGACCTAATTTGGACAACATAAAGCCAATGACGATTACCGTAGACCTATCATCCCCCAAACCTAATGCAAGAGTCTTACAACAAAGGAAAAAATAAAAGTAAAACAGAACAGTATGACCATGGAAATTAAATAGCAAGTAAACAATAAAATCAAAATACTGCTTCCAAACCCTAAACTCTCCTTTCCTCCATGGCGGCGGTTCAGGAGGGGGACGGTCTAACAGTACCGAAGTATCTTCCACTCTTTGCCTCCGATCCAGATCTGATCCAGCCCTAGCCCCACGTTTCGTCCATGACCTATTGAGCGCACCCATGAACGACATTCTCAAACCTCTCCACCAGCTGCTAGGGATACACAACCTTTGGCCGCCATATAGGCGCTGCGATCTGCCAAAGAAGAGAGTATTACGGAAGGCGGACCAAAGACGCACAAGAAAGCCGCACTTCGTCGAAGACGAAAGCGGAGAAAAGCAACCCTTAACCCTAGGGGAGACGACCGCAAGATCACCAGCCCATTTAGCAACACTGGACGCTACGCCGCCGAGGACGCCGCCGGAACAAACACCCTAGGAGAACCCTAGGAGACGACCGCAGAAATTTTAGAGAGAGAGAGACTTTTTTTAGATGACTCTAGTCATTAGTCACATCTTATAAACAACCTTTATTTTAGTAATAATATCTAATTATTTCTCTAAAAACTCATTTAAGAGTATAACGGTTAATCTTAATTTGGACTCCCAAATTTCAACAGATTTATTACTATACTGAGGCACAAACCAAATTCTTTCTAAAATATAGAGCCCGTTTGGTGACACCTTTTTTCGGCTTATCAAGCTTATCAGCCAGTTTTTTCACCAAACACGTAATTTTTTATTTCGCGCGCTGAATTGTTTAATAAGCAGAAAAAGTAAGGTTGAAGTTACTTTTCTGGCTGTATTGGCCGAAGTTAGTGTAGAGGATCATTTTAGCTATTTTTTCATATAATTTTTTATTTTATTTAGTAATAACAAATATTTTAAATATAATATTTTCATGAATCAACAGAATCAGTCAATACAGCCACTTCAGCCAGAACTTCATAAATTTCAGCAGAATCAGCCAATATAGCCAATTTTAGTGTTACCAAAAGGGCTCATAATCTTTGATTTAGTGCCTCAAATTATTTAGTCGTTTTTATCAATTCCTAATTTCTTACGATCTACATTTTCCTTTTTCCTACAAACTACCATTATATGATCAAAGCTACAATAAACTTTACTATCATTTTCTATGTAACAAATCACACATTACGTACCATCATAATATAATAAAATATTTAAACAGGTCGTTCTTCTAATACTCTATATTCACTCGCATCGCACGGGCACTTCAACTAGTGACTGATAGTTATTACATTATACAGTCATGGTAACTTAAGTTTAAAAATGGAACATACCTTACTATGATTTCATTATATTCTAATAATTAGTCACATTCTTATAAACAATCGTTATTTTAGTCATATGTAATTATTTCTATAAAAACGCATTTAATTTAAGACTAGAATAGTTAGTCTTAGTTTGGACTCCAAAATTTCATCAGATTTATTACTATACTGAGGCACGAACCAAATTCTTTCTAAAATATAATCTTTGATTTCGTACCGTGTCTCAAATTATGTAGTCGTTTTTAAAGTTGTTCTCCGTGCAATAGAAGGTTAGTTTAAGCGTTTAATTAACTTATAAATATGCTATTTTAAAATAAAAAGTATAATAAATATTCCGTAGTTAACTTTATCAACACTTCGAAGTTTAGAATGGAATTATATCAGAACGTTAATTAGTTTAATTTATCAACACTTTGAAGTTTAGAATGGAATTTCAGAATATTTGTACCGTATTGGTTTCTAATATATAATGAATTTTGTAACTCCTCGATCACTAAGAAACGCGCGCTTACGCATACTGTGAAGTATGAAGTGTCTTGGGTATGAATTAAAACATATTCTTTCACAACATTAAATATAAAATATTATACGTGTTGGTAAGCAGCCTATATATATATATATATATATATGCATGGGAGCTTTAATTCAATCGGAACTAACTAATACTAGTAATAATTACCGTAATATATACATAGATCACACTTTATAAAAGAGAAAAGGGCAATAATGTGGCCTAGAGAAGGCGGTGGATATTTCGTCAAGGATGAGATTGAGCCGTTGACTCACGTGGAACGACAATTTGAAGAACGATATAGGATAACTTTGATGTTCCTGAAGGGTTTGCCAGGTTAATTACTCATTTACTCATATCTTCCCGTTCTCAGCTTGATTTGGATGGGAGCAGGGGCGGAGCTACTGGGGGTCAGGGTGGTCAGCCGACCCCGCTGAAAATTTAAGATTGTAGAGCTCTGAAATATCTTCGATTTGATATATTATGGCTCTCGTAACTCATTACGAGTAAAAAGTTATGACTTCTGCAAAATCAGCACTATTTAAGTTTGAAATTAGTAAAATTGTGATGCGTAATATTAATTATATTCACAAAATAGCGTGTAATTCACTCGTTACTTACGTGACATGACTTAGGGACAGAGCAAATACAACATATCTTACTGCTACGAGTGCCTACTCAATAAATGATTCTTTTCTAGTAAGAAATCTTGATACTAAACCGAGTAAGATTGAAGAGAACCATATAGAGTACTAGGGTAAGACAATGGGTCTCATCCGAGGTACTCAACTCAACCCGTATAAAACATGTTTATAATATATGTTTATAATACGAAATATATTAACCACATATACTCTATTAGTTTCATTTAAACTATCATTTATCTAAGCTACATTCAATTTGGGTATTGTCTAAAAGTAATCTACCGTTTTGATTCTATGCAAATTTGAATTCGACCCCGCTGAGTCATTTTTCTGGCTCCGCCCCTGGATGGGAGTTCCCAAAATGTAAATAAAATAAAAATGTATAGTTGTAGTTGAGATAACAAAAAAGTAAATAAATTGTAGTCACATCAAACTTTTCAAAGTGAGAAATTAAATTAGAACTATTTTGGCCCAACCCAAAAAATAAAATGAGAACTACTACTTACCTTATAAGACGAATGAATTTATTGTTATTTACGGATTATTACCAGCTTGCTATGTCGTCAAAGAGATGCACACAAAAACGGACACAGCTTTTAAAATATAAAACGTACATCTTCTTTTAAGTGTTTTAAATTATTTTAAGTAAAATTTTTGAATAATATTACTCCCTCCGTCCCAATTTACTTAGCCAAACATGATTTTCCAAGTTAATGGTGCCTAACTTTGACCGCTTATATATTTATATACATAAAATAGTAATAATATGAAAATTATATGAAAATGTTCTTTGTTGAAAAGACTATCATAAAAGTATAAAATTATTATTTTTTGCATAAATATATTAGTTCAAATAATTGCTCAAAGTTTACCACCTTTGACCGGAAAAGTCAAGATTGGCTAACTAAAATGGGACGGGGGAGTATAATAATACTATTTGAAGACGTAAGATATCAATACATGTAACTTTTTCAACTAATTAATAAAAAATAATTCCAAATATATTATCAAAATAGTAGTAATGGACAAAATCACAAAATTAATGTGATCCAATATAGTACTCCAGTAGTATATCAATGTCCATAGTTTTTTTATTAAGAATACGGGATAAGGGTCAGTTTGGTCCTCGAAGTTGCAAAAAAGGGTCAAATAAGTCCCTATATAGAAGATTCTGTCCGGACGTGTCATTTGAGGTGGCTCCCGGTGGAATTTTTTGAAGAAAGTTTTTGAGCATCTTATTCATTAAGTCTAGTTTACTCATACCAAATTTCAGATAAAAATTCAATGGGGAAGACATTCAAATGAATTCTTGAAGATAACTGTGCCGTTAAAAACGCTGTTATCTTCAAGAATTAATTTGAATGTCTTCCCGATTGAATTTTTAGCTGAAATTTGGTATGAGTAAACTAGACTTAATGAATAAGATGCTCAAAAAAAATTATCACAAAATTCCACCGGGAGCCACCTCAAATGGCACGTCCGGACAGAATCTTCTATATAAGGACTTATTTGACGCCTTTTTTTCAACTTTGAGGACCAAACTAACCCTTTACTCATTAAGAATACTTTGGGAAAAATATCATTAATAATAATAGGCTTAAGAGCGTATATAAAGTCAGGAGTATGCAAAAGATTGATGCGTTGAATTAAAGTGACATAGGATGTTTTTAATTAATTGCTTGGATTGATTTGATCGAGTCTCAGACCAGACCAAAACAAAGTAGACTTAAATGGATCAGACGACCAGACTTCGACACCTATATAATACACATATACCAAACCAGATTAGACCGATTCAGACTAGCTAGAATATATCAGACTAAACCAGACTAAACTTAAATATATCAGATTAAACCAGACCCGACCAAAAAAAGTTAATTCAATTACAAACATCGCTATAGTGATTACGAATATGTTCAATTTGTATAACGCATTGATCCCAAAATATAGGTTTTTCAAAAACATTACCAAATTAAAAGAAAACTTATTTATTAATATATGAATAGTACTTACTATATATAGTATAGTACTATGACCACTTATGTTTAAAAATTGAACATAAATTATTAAGTTACTATTATAGTTACTACACATAAAATCACATTTTTGTATATAGCTTTTATTTTAGTCATAAATATGTAATTATTTCCATAAAATGCACAATCATATAATAATGGGAAAACTATCAAATAAGTCCCTCTATTTTTTTAAAAATCAATTAGATCTACCAACTAAATTTCATTCAATCAAACTCTCGAACCAATTTTAAAATGGCAAATCCTCCCTTTTAACTGATAGCCTCCCAAATCCCAGTTAAATTGCATATGTGGCATATGACGTACTTTTTTCCTTCTTTTTTCCCTTTTTCTCTTTCTTTTTCATTTCCCTTTTCCTTTCCTCCCGCTCCCTTTTTCTTCCCTTGTGCACACCTGCACTTTTTTTTTTCTTTCCAATCTCTTCTTTCCGTACTTCTTCGGCCTTACTTCACCCTTCTCACCTTCCTCCGCCTTCTCTCTCGCTCCGTACTTCTCCTCCTTCGACTAGGGTGGGGGCCAAATTGAAGGTGCATGCAGCGGATCTAGAAATGGCCGCCCTGGAGGTCTCACGGAGCACCGTCGCCGACCCGAAAGCTTCAAAGGAGCACCTTCACTGACTTCCAAGCCATTGACTTGTGGGCAGGGGACGAGCGACCTGCGAGAAGGAGGCGTCCGCCACTCTGGCGTGCGATGGGTAATCGAGAATCTCCGGCGATGTGGGTTCTCTCAGGCTGCGGGGTGAAGGGCCGACGACCGGTGGGTGGGAATTGGGAGAAGAAAGAAGAAAAGGGGAGAAGAAAGAGTTGATGGAAGAAATGGAAGAAGGGGGTGAAGGAGGAGGAAGGGGTTGCTCGAACGGGCGTAGAAGAAATAAAGGGGGAGCAGGAGAAAGAGGAAGGGGAAGGAAAAAAGAAAAAGAAAATGGGAAAAAAATGAAAACCACCATGTGGGTCGACACGTGTGCACAATAACCGGTTAACTAATTCATCTACTTTTTTTCGAAGCAATGTTAATTAATTAATTAATTACGAAAATAATGCTGGAAAAAAAAATATTTACCGATCTACTGTTGGGTTTAACCATGGTCAGGGGTAAGTCGCCCAACGGTTGGACGACTTATAAGTCGTCAAACGGTTTTGCGACTTATAAGTCGCCCAACCATTCGGCGACTTACCCCTTGTATATGATCGAAGGCCAGCAGCTACTGGCAGCCACGCATGATCGTGCGTCCCAGGGTACGCTCGATCGTGCCTAAGTCCGAAAACAGTATTTCAGCATGTTTTTTGCCCCAGTTCAATCCAGACTCATCTGTTTTCTATAAATAAGGTCTCTCTTCTCCTGTTTAAGTGTTACGAGCCAGATACAACACATTATAAAACATACAACACACGTCTTCACAAACACATACATAACACCTACTCTCAACAACATACAAAACACCTTGTAAATACCCTTTACAAATCAAATACCAAACCTTACATTTATAACCGGTAAAACACAGTACAATCATCCAATATTCATAACAACTAATCATCTAATATTCATACTCGAACACATCAAGACCAAATACAAGAGTTTACAAGAGACAATACGTAAAATTTTGTAAATTGTTCCTACCACATCTACTATACAAGAAAAACTGCAAAACAAAAGACAAACTACAAGTTCCCATGCTCATCTTAGCCATCTTGGTCATGGAGATGTTGCTGCTGATGTCTACACCTACGCCGTTGTCGTGGTTGAAGAACCACTCTCTCATGTCGATGGCATCTCCTGAGATGGGGGCATATGTATAAGATGGTCGTAGTCGACTCGCCCCAACACATCTGAACACAAGGAGGCAATGCCTGTCAGAGCCTGTCCACACATGTCCACATCATGAGTATCACTCATTGTGGCAGTAGCTCGCTGATGTATGTGCTGCAAAGCTGGTGTCTGAAATATGAAACACAATTACAATTACATTGAAATTCATACAAATACTAAATAAAATGACTTACTTTACTAATTAGTAATATACTCACCGTAAGATGCAAAGCCAAGGAGTTAGGCTGATAATGATGAGTAGGGAGTCTGAACGAAGGAGACACAAACAAACGAGTGATGCTGTAATACCATCCCATGTAGTCTCCTGAAACAGATGGGACAAATGTCGGTGTCCCAGTCACAACTAGCTCAGCTCGCCTGTCCCACAGAGTGACGTATCGGACATATCTCAGTGCCCAATCCTCCGTATGCTTCTCACGCCTATCTAGCCTATGAAGCTCTACATAAGTGTCGATAGGCCGTGGAATGACCTGCTCAAACCCAAACTGTCGCAAGACTCTATCAGGCAAATGAAGCTCAACAATGTCAAAACATATCAACGGCACACGTGCTCGAATGCCCAAAAAACTCTTTGAAACTGCATATAACCTGTGGGAGTATTAGGGGGTGGGTACCAGTGCACAATAGTTCCAGGATTTGAATGTTGGAGCACTGTCATGAAACGGGGCAAATCAGAATATGACTGCTCCCAACCGCCAAATAATTCTGCAATGGCCTTTTGCTTCCCCATCCACGTTCTCCGGTGTGATACCGTATACCCATACTTTTCCTTCAGCATCTCAATGATAGTATGCACTTTAAGGGAAGGATCAGTGCGAACTATGTCAATGACATCTTTAGAGATGAAATCTGAAGTCAAATCCACGTGATCGGTAGTGTCGGTGTTGCCAACGCACGTAGCAGAATGAGGTCCAGGATAACGCATAATTTTGAAGGTGTCAAGGTTGCCTTTATTCTTTGTGGCGCGTATTCTCCAGGGGCAATTACATTCTTTCTTCCTTTTGCATTGTGCCACCCAATTTTTGTTTATCGGACTCTATCACCCGATAAAATTGGTTCCGTTTGATAGAATACAAGCTCACCTTATTGATGACTTGTTCTTTGTTGTCAAACTGTTGACCGACCTCAAACTCACCTTCGGGGGTAAACCTTTTCTCACTTGATCCACGCATCAGTAAAGCCTTCACGGAGATCATACATTCTAGTAAAGTGGCTAGACGGGGCAGTTGCCGTGACCGTATCACCATCATCTTCATCAGATTCTGTCATGTCATCAGCATCAGCATCACTTTCCTGCCCATCCACAAATGATGCATCGTTGTGCAAATACCTACCATCTTCCTGTACAACCATGTCCAATACAGGAGCATTTGAGGATTTTCTGCATTCACACCTGCATTGACATCATGCCTAGATACAACAGTATTTGATGTTGATCGAGTACCATAAATGTCACATATGGATTCCTCAATGTATATCTCCGGCGTGGACATGTCCTCCATCTGAACTATGCCCCACATATTAGTTATAGCTAGCTCATCAATGAGGGGCATAAGCATGTACTTTCCCCCGTTCATGGGAAATTTTATTTTCAAACGCAAAGAACGGCTAGGATGAATCATTGTGGCTGCATGTATTTTTTGAAGGATCTCGAGCATGCAAGCGCCATGAGAAACCATGACAAAGTTGGTTCTACCACCTTCATGGAATATTTGCCCAGCATCCTCATAATAGTTCCCTCCCCAATGACACACGATTGGGAAGCTTGAGAAATCCATATTCTAATAACAATTCATTGTCCAACATTCATGAGTAGGCATCAATATACACACTTTATACACATTCAAATTTTCAATAGAAAAAACTACCAAAATTCTAATATATCCAAAAGTCAAAATTCACAAACAATTCACATTTCAATATGAAACTACCCAAATTTTGATATCTACATTCAAGTCTACATTTCAATACCCAAATTTAGCTACATTCAAATCTACCCAAATGCCCAAATGTCAAAATACACATTAAAATTTAAAATCAATTTAAAATCAAATTTCAACATTTCATACGTATCCACATTTCACAACAACTGAATTCACAATCAATTCCTAATCCAAAAATTCGAAAATTTTAATATTCAAAACCCTAAGTTCAAAATGAGATGAAATGGATTTTGATTTACCTAGAAGAAAGAAGAAAGAGTGTTGAAGAGGATGGAGATGAAGGATTCTTGGGAAAATGGAGGAGACCTCGCCGGAGCTCGAGATTCGCCGGTCGTCGCTCGCTGCTGGTGGGGGGTTCATCGCTCGCTGCTGCTGCTTTCAATTTGGGGAGGAAGTGTTCTGTCTTGCAAAACCGACCCCGTTTTTACTTAAGGCAAAGTCGCCCAATGGTTTGGCGACTTATATAAGTCGCCAAACCATTGGGCGACTTTCCCCGACCATGGTTAACCCAGTAGTATATTGGTAAATACTTTTAACCCAACCCTATTTTCGTAATTAATTAATTATTTGACATTATTTCGGAAAAAATACTCCTAATTCATTGCCAGTTTAAAGGGAAGATTTGTCACTTAAAAAATGGGCGAGGGTTTGATTGAGCGAAATTTCAGTTAAGAGGTCTAATTGATTTTCGATTTTTTTACAAGAATATTACTAAAATATAACTTATTTACATAAATATGACTATTCATTACTACAACGTAGTGTTGTGGTAACTTAAGTTCAAAACTTGAACATGAATTACTATTATTTCATTATTACTCTAGTAACTAGTCATATTTTTGTAAATCTTATGGTCCCGGATAGAGGTAAAAGTCTAAGGGGGGGGGGGGTGAATAGACTTTTAAGGCTTTTTCACTTTTAAAACTTTTCCCTTTCTAGATGAGTTGATCTGTAATCTTTTGGGAGATTTACAGATGCACAGCGGAAGTCTTTAACCTCTTGATGATTAATGTGTGACAACTTTCTAGCTTGAATGATGTTTGGATTTTGATTAGTGAGCAGTTGATTTGGCAGTTGCCTGGATGGCAGAGAACTGCTGAGGCAACTGCTAGTGGAAAGTAGGAGTTTGGGAGAGATGATTATATGGCCTTGTACAGAACGATAAGGGCTTACTGAATATGTGCTGAGCTGCAGATAATAAGGGGTTTTGCCTGAGCAGAGGTCTGAGCAGTTGGGTAGACCCAGGAAACTGCTAAGCCGCCTGTTGCGTATGAAAGAAGTATTTATGAGAACTGGCAAACCTAACCTTTTAGTAGTGGTATTCCAAAGCTCGTGTGAAACAGTTGACTCAAGGAAAAGTGAGTTATTAAGCAGTAGGATAAGCAGTAGAGTCAATTAAGACAACTGCTTAGGATGCTGCTGGCAAACTACGATCCCTTTAGTGAGAAGTGTTGGGTGTGTGCTCTGTTGAGTAAAAGAAAATCAACACACGATATATCCTGGTTCAGAGGTGGTGTAATCCTCCTACGTCCAGTCCCACCCTCTTTCAGATGGATTTCCACTAAAGTATTAAGCCCAATACACTTAGTGCCAATCTAGCCTTTACAACACTTAGGCCTAGATTGAAGGTTTTTCACAATGAGTATGACACCACTCAAAGTTACTCAGTCCTTAGATTTTTCTCAGATGATCCAGTGGGGATCAAAAGGTACTCTATCTATCTAACTACACTTTAGGATCTGAACAACTGTTCTCCTAAGTGTTTACAACCACTTGTAAAATGTTACAAGAAAGTTCTAACCTCCAACTATGAACTAAGCTCTGAAAGTATGAAAGTGTTGATCTAATCTGAGAGCTTAATGAAGCATGAGTCTAAGCAGAGAGTAAAGTTGAGTTTGCACTCTCTCTTTTGCTGGATAGCTCGTATATGCTTTGATGGAAGAATTTCTCTACTCAGAATGCTCAAGCTTGATTTTAGAACTCATCCTTCTGCCTATATTTATAGGCCTCCATAGTTAATTAATCTCATCTGTTGATTAAGATGAATTAATCCTAGTCGTTGAAGATCTGGCAAGGACAAGTTGTACATTTGTCTTCTTGTGCCGGAGCTTTTAATGAGATGGTTTCCTTATCTTGAATGATTGAGCCGCGGCATAGGTATGCCTATGTGTGCGTCCAGGCAGTAGGTCCATGTACTTGATTTAGCATTTAACGCAGGTCTAGTTTTGTCTTCCAATCATACACATTCAATGTATATGATATTTGAGCATCTTTAAAATGTGACATTTAATTAATCTTTGAGCAAAATGATATATGCCGGTAGGATCCAAATATCCTATTAAGGTAAATAGAAATTACCTTATTGCATTTTTATTTTTCCGGTAATATATCATTAATCTCAAAGATTGTACATTTATTTTGTCACTTATGATTAATTTGAAGATTAATGTACTAGTGCAAAGTATAGTGGCATCATCAAAATCTATCAAAATTAGGTACTAACAAAATCATCTTTATTTTGATCATATTTATGTAATTATTTCTTGATTTTCCCTATAATAATTTTTGTCACATTTTTGTCCATGTATTTTACTTAGTGATATATTTGGAACAACACCCCTCATATTCACTAACATATGGAGTATAAGATCTCCCTCTACATAATAATATAATGTCTTTATAAATATTAAAAATATAAAAGCATGCATGTATATATGGACTTATGTGGAAATATCAAGACATTTCATGCATTAATTAAGATATTATCAATGAGTAAATTTCATGTATAAATGCATTAATTTCATACATAATAATTTGAAAGAAATATCAATGAGTAAAATATTATTTTATATCTTTATTGAGAATCTTTTATCCAAGAACTTTGAGAACTTTCACTTTTAATCATACACTACAACAAATTATAGCTTTAGTAACATATGTAAAATGTTGCATTAGGTGTAAAAATGTCACAATATATCAAATGCAACATTATTACCATGATGCATCGGACCGGTGTTACAATAGATGTATTGTAGCAATTTATCACTTTAGTGTAGCAGGTTTTGGTACAATAATGTTACGATAAATACTACTAGTATATTGTAACAATTTCTATGATGCTACAAAATGGATGTTACAATAGACACTTTTTGTACTAGTGTAATTTCAAACTTGTGATTGTTTGACTTGTATCTCATTTCAAATCAGTGACTTATTTATTGACTATATTTATATTTTGAGATGCACTAGTATATACTTCGTATATTACATCTGTTCTTAAATAAGTGCAACATGTTGAATTTTACATTATTCATATCTTCTAATTCGACTACATTTTATTTATTTTACATTATTCATATCTTCTAATTTGACTACATTTTATTTATTGATGTATTAATATATATATATATATATATATATATATATATTGAAAAAATTATTGTTAAATTTGTATTGTAAATTTTTAAAATGTTTATTTTTTTTATTTTTTTACTAATAGAGAATTATATATATTAATGATCAAATTTGTGTCTCGCCAAATGTGAAAAATTGATCGTCACACTTATTTAAGAACAGAGGAAGTATGGTATAAAGTATAATTTTTTATCTAACTATATAAAAATTGGTCTAATATTAAAACATCCTAGCAAAAACAAAAACATGTGAAATTCTTAAGAATATTTTATTAATATTAATATATGTAGCTATTCGATCTATATATTAACGCATATTATTAATCCAGATTTATGCTTATAAAGTAGAAATATTTAATTTTGATTATGCTATGATCAAAAAATTGTCGTCACCTACACCCGATAATTATTGTTAAGTAGAAACCCAAGTACGTATTTGGTAGGGGTTTACACTGTACGTTTTGTGATGACAGGATTGTACAAGAAAGAGAACATTAAGATGAAGATAGACAAAAAGAAGAGGATAGTGAGTGTTGTAGGGGAATCACAGGAAGAGAATACAAAATATAAAGATGTGTGGTTGCGCTTCCAGCGCGATTTCCCAATTCCGGAGGATTGTGACATGGAAAAAATTATTTATGATGATCGTAGTGACCAGTTCATCATAGTTCACATGCCAATTATTCCCAAACAAATGGAGAAATCTAAATCCATTGATGATGATGATCAACTAAACACCACTTCGAGCAGTAATGAGAGCCAAAGGAAAGCCTCAATGCCGCCCCAAGAGCCCGATCATGGAAATGAATTTACCACACCTAAGACAACGACGAATAATGATGTTCGAGGTGGAATTGTTCATCCCGAGCACCCCGATACTCCGACCCGACACAATGATGGAAATGATGTTCAAGGTGGAATCGTTCATTCTGAGCGTCCCAACACTCCGGCCCGACACAATGATGGAAATGATGTTCAAGGTGGTATCAGTGAGGGGGTACAGCAAAAACAGCCGCCACTCAAAACCACTCTCTTAATGAATGCCTTTATTGGTTTGCTTGTGGTTCATGAACTTGTGGCTCAGATATATGACCATATTGTGTGGATGATTTATAAGAAATTAGACTAATCAAAAGTAACGTCTTTATCAATTTCATATGTGTATTTACGTACATGGGCTATTGCATTTAGCTAGTTTCGAGCTGCCTCAAATGTACATAGTAAAGTCGTTCATTATTATCACTAAATGAAGCTAATATAAACACAAATCTTTGTTTATATACTCCGCATGTATCATCTATTATTATTATTATTAGTAGTAGTAGTATTATAATTATTATACTTATTATTATTATTATTATTATTATTATTATTATCATTATTATTATTATCTATAATCTATTACTAGTATAATAATAATATACTCCATTCGTCTGGATATAAGGTTCATCAAATTAACTTTTTTCAATATGAAATTATTTTGAATATGAAAATTATATCAAAATGTTCCTTATTCAAATATTTTAAAAAAAGTATAAAGTTTATGAGTTTTATACAAATATAGTAATTAAAATTATTATCCAAAGTTTGTCATCACTGACCAAGAAAAGTCAATATGGCGAATTTTTTTGGGACGGAGGTAGTATAATAATAAGAAAAGGAAACTTGTAAAGTAAGTGCCCGCCCAGAAAAAGTGCTACACCGGAAGGTTGCTGTGTAGATATGCACATCGCTGGAACATTTTAGGATCAAAGTGAAAAAAGCTTTTTATATTATACTTCATCCGTCCCTAAAGGTTAGGGCGTCCTACCTCCCTGAATCCCTGATTCACTAGAAGAGAAATGGGTTCTCAAGGCGCTTTATATAAACCTACCGCGACGCTAAAAAGCGTCGCTAGTGCTTTTACCGACACTTGTAAAAGCGATGGCTTTGCTTGTGTCGCTAGCCCTTTTTACGATGCTAAGTGTTAGCGTCGGTATATAATTCTAAAAGCGTTGCTATAGTTGAGGCACTTTTCATCAACCTATCAAGGCACACAATTAGCGTCGCAAGATACTCAACTTCAATTTCCTTTCTAATAGCACCAAATTCAATGAATATTAATATTGCACCTATTAATTTCATAAGAGATTATACAAAACTAATCACTTGGAAAGAACAAATGGTTTTTTATTAAAATGTATAATTAAATTATTCAAGAACATTAAAGGTGCTTTGACATCACAATGACCAAACAATGCTGGAATCATACTACTTTTAATCCATAAAGTTAAACTAAGCAAAAAGTATCAAGGATTCAAGATATCCATTATTTATTAGTTTATTACATTGATCCAAAACCAATCCTCATCATTTGATCTTCAATGCTTGTATAGAAAAATCTGCAATAATAGAATAGAATAAATAATGAGCAATTGTTATTAAAAAATAAACACACCATCTAACCGTGGCATTAGAAACAATTTTATACAAACTATTTGTCATCATCTTTTTCTAAATTTCCTCCTTTTCCATCTCTCCTATTTTAACAACATTGACTACCTCTACAACTTTACTCTTTGATTCCAAAATAACCCTAGAGCAGCTAGAATTTAGAAATATAATTATTTCTTTATTTTTAAAAAATACTCTTGACAATAACTTTAAGGTATTTTTGCTCATTCAACACATTAGGACATTTCAACCAAACCATCAATAATTCATCAGATTTTACTATCTCATCCCATATTTACTATCTGTAAACTGATCCTAATATAATAAATTAATATAATAAATTAAAAGAAGAAAAACTTACCCATAAAGACGAAACCATCTCAAGCAGCCATGGTAGAACCTGCACATTAAGCAAGAAAAAAATATGTTTTCATGGTAGAATTGTCAATCCGAAGTAACACATAAGATGTCAGCTATACTCAATCAATGTCGTGTTTCTAATTTTCCAAAGACATCATTATAGTAATAACTATCTTGTGGAAACAAGTACATACATTCCAGCATCTATAAGAATCTTTGAAGTTCCAGATGATCCAAGGTGTCGAATGAGAATGCTTGTGTTATGTCTCTTGTTTTTGTTGACATGATCAATAACCTGTGAGCACACCTGTAATTAATTGACTACTAAATTTGCATACTTAATACTTCAAATATAAGTTTTAAGCAATTGACTCCAGATATATGAGGCAGCTAACTCGGACAATAAAATGCGCTGGACAAGTAAATTGCAGACCATACATCTATAAGAGACTTTACATTTACACATAAATGTAGTCAGTATTTTCTCTGATCTCTTCTTAAATCATTTACTAACTTCACAATAGTTAAACACGTCATAGTGCACAACTGTAGATTAGTACTTACTGACACTTATTACTATGTCAGGAGGGAAGGAGATAGTGAGACTAACTTATGTTTGGACAAGTTTTAGACAAGAAAAACAAAGTCAAGTATTTCTGGGATAGCTTATGACATTTTATAATAGAAGAATAAATAAAGCATTGGCAGAGCAAATAAGAGAGTAAGGAAGTAAAGCCGTAAAGGGAGGACAAAAAGACATTACCATAAGAGATGAAGAGTAGTTCTGTTTATGATATTTATAACATCTCCAACTTGGTGTGGAGTATAGTGACTCTCTCTCATCCACCTATACTTGTTGAAATTCTAAAGAGTTTAGGATCACAAATTTTAAACAGGCTATATAAAATAATACGGAGTAAAAATAATAATAACACAAAGAAACTGGCCTTAGTTAGCGGCCAAAAACATGAAATAGTGTCAATAACACAAAGAAACTGACCTTAGTCATCATAGTAAGTAGTGTTTTCAGATCCATTTCCATAGGCTCCACCACCACCATAACCACCACCACAACCACCGCCATAATCACCACCAGATCTGATTAAGTGTCAATATAAACCTCCATAAGCCCAAATATACTACACCCCATTGGATTTGGTGGTACATTGGTACATGATAAAATGGCATACAAAGTTATTATATGAATATTACAAATATGAATGAAGGAAATGTATATTTCAACTTTAACAAATATGAAAAATGGTTCTAATATAGTTGCTCCTGCACCTCACCCCCAAACTCAGCCAGGCAGTGTTTTCCATTATCAGTACCAGTAGTGAAGCAGTGTAACCCTGAAATCAGGCCGGAAACTTCCATGAGGCCACCACCCATTGAGCTGCCCATTTCACTCAAGAATGCTTGTACATATGCTTGACAAACAAACGTATCATGGAGGGTGGAGTTGTTTTAAATGAAGAACTTAAGTCTTAAAAGAAGAATCATTTGTACCAATAACAATGGAAACTAACAGATACGAGACTCCAAAGCTCTAAGCCTCTAACGCAGCTCTAATAGATATAACTTGTAACACTCAGTAGGGTCTTCCATCTTCTGTATAGCCACTACCAAAAAATTAGGGCCTTTCATCTTCTTCCTAAAATGAAGCGAATGAAACTAAAAATGAATGAACAAAAGGATCTTATATTCAAATGCAAAAAATGAAGGAATCAAAGCAATTAATCATCACATTACACCTAAGCAATTAACTATCACTGTAATTAAATTCATGGAAAACAGAATGAACAAGTACATAAACGGAATTACTGCTCAATATCATAAGAATTCATCGGAGAGAAAAATAGATCACAGGTTATTCATTGTAAAAAACTAATACATATCAAAATTGAGTATGCCTTCTAAGAAGATGGACACTTCAATTTACAAAATAAGAAAATGAAAGATGTCTGATGGATAGTCTAGCCGGGGGTATCTTATCCGAGGGGTTATTGCGGGAATAACTTAGAGAGAAGTCAGAGCAAATAGGAGGAGAGAGAGTCGATTTTATTAAATGAACTCAGCGTGTGGAGTTGAGATGTAGATGATGATTTACAAGGAGGAATGGGCTGCTATTTATAGCAGCAATAAATGCGGTGAGAGGACACGTGTCAGTAATCCAACGGCCGAAGGGTCACATCAGCCTGGTGGCACCGGCAGCGGTACGTCAACCGCATTGAATGCGGTTGGCGGATGTGACGTGGTATTAAATGCGGTGGTTGGCTGTCTCCAAAGGGAATCTTCGATGATTGAGTCTGTTCAGCCGAAGGCTCCTCGCGTAGCCGAGGGCTTTGTGTGGACGAAGGCACTGTGTGGTCGAAGGCTTCATGTATGGCCGAGGGCTTCATGTATGGCCGAAGGCTTCACGTATGGCCGAAGGCTCCCTGTGTAGCCGAAGGCTTGGTTCAGCCGAGGGCTTCCCCTGGTGCCGAGGGCTCCATAGTGCCGAAGGCTCCTGTCTCCTGTCATTTTCTCCCAGTAGCTTCGCATGGTCGAATATGGCGGTTCTGTGAGTTTTGGAGCCTTCGGCCAAGGAGGCCGAAGGCATCCCTGTGTGTATTGTGGGCTCCTTGATGCTTGGGCCGCCGAATCTTGGGCCTCCTGAGCTCCTTGGGCTTGTTGGGCTTGTGATAGATTAGTAGGAGTCTGCGGGCCGGGGGTTCCCGGGCCATATACTCCATCAGGAGTCCCTCACTCCTTTTGCCGAAAGGTACTTGAGGGAAAAGGAGTAATTGTGTTGATTCTCCCGAAAGCTTCATCGTTTTGTTGGGTGCCTTTGACTCATCACTTATCTTCTGGTGTTAGCCGAAGGCTTCCCTCAGTCCCCCACATGTCGAGGGTTTTCTGAGGGAAGCGTAAATAATATCTGTATGTGTTGTGATGAAGGCTGCTTCATCATTGTCAGTGACTTTGTGGAAAGTTTCTGACATTCTGCTTTGCCGAAAGGTGTAATGGTGTATGTACCCGAGGGCTACATGCGTTATTTGTAGATTTCTTGCATGTGGGAATTTTTGTTTTTAGTCATGTGTGATTCCCGATGGGTGTATCCCAGTCCCTCACTCCTTTAGGTCGAAGGCAAGTTCGGGCTAAAGGAGTTATGATGTGTTGATGAGCTCCCGAGGGGTGGCAACATTGACAAGCCGAAGGCTTATACTGCTGCCTGCTCGAAGGCGTTATGTTGGAATTCATTGGCTGTAGGCTGTGGTGAGTGATAGCCGGAGGCTATCATTCGAGGGCACCCCAGTGTTGTCGAAATATAGTCGTTGCAACATAGCCGTTGGGAGAGGAGTTGACGTGGCATGCCTCCGTTGGTTGGTGGGGGGCGGGTGCTACCCATTGGCTGAGCCGGCGGCCCGTAATGATGGCCTTTTTAAATTGAGGCCCAGATTTCGAGGCTGGGAGCCTATAAATACCCCAAGCCCGAATTCATATCCCTTGTGCGATTTTTTGATAGCGAAGCTCTGCCCTTTTGTTTTCTAGAGAGAGAAAGCCCTGTTCGATCAAACCCCAAGTTTCGAGGTCAGTTCTTCACCGTTCTTCGATTCTTCTAGCATACTTTGCTCTCTTGTTCTTAGATTAAGTGTTAGAGCCTTCCTGGGAAACCCCTAGTATCCTTTTTTCCTTCCATACTTGCGTTCTCTCGATTCCGAAGGATGTCTTCAGCAAGCGACTCCCAGAACCATTCAAGGGAGCCCTCAGCTGCAGTAGAGAGCTTTTCTGATTCGGAGTCATCGAGCGAGCAGTCCTCGACCAATAATGACCTTGCCGTGGCCGAGGAGGTACAGAGCAACCTTCGGGTTGAGCTGGAGGCTGAAGAATTCGAACAAGTTGCTGCTGATGAAGAAATGGCCCTCGCACTCCAAGTAGCTGAGGAAGAAGAAGAGAGGGAACGACAGGAGGTTACGGTCGCCGTCTTGCCCCTCCGTGGATCCGGGGAGGCGAGTACCTCCCGGCCTCTAGATCCAGAACCCCTCAGCGTTGCCGTGGGGAAGAAGAGGAAGAAGACGAAGGCTTCTCAGAAGAAGAAGCAACCTGCCGCAGATTGTGGGAAGCCTGTGGGGATCCCCGAGGGACACTCCTGGTTGAACACAGCCGCCCTCGCGCTTAGGTCGAGGGCTGACCGGGCAGAGTGCTACGTTACTCAGCTCCATGTGGGTCCGTCGGCCACTGTTATAGAACCGGGGCCCAACGATATCCTATCTCGGGCTCCCGAAGGATGTTTCGCCGTCCATGTGCTGTCGGTGGCCATGGGCCTCCGGTTCCCGCTGCATCCTTTCCTCCTCGAATATCTGAGGTACGTGGGTTTAGCCCCCTGTCAGCTCACCCCAAACAGCCACTCGTATATCACAGGCTTCCTTCAGCTTTGCCGGGACCGGGGGGTAACCGCGACCCTCGATTTATTTTTTCAAAGCTTCAACTTGTGCCGGGGGGGGGGGGGGGGGGCATTCCAATTCCGAGGGGTTTGCAAACCTGCAGCAGCTTGCCCCTTGGAGGCTTTTTGATGATGTGCCTTCGTCTCACAAGGGATGGAGGGACCGGTTCTGCTATATCAAGATGGTAGAAAACCCGTTTCCGGGGGAACTGCGTAATCACTTTCGGCGGCACCCGAAGGTGGGAAGTGCCGCTCTTCAGAAGGAGGGGAAGAAGCTTGTTGCTTTGCTGCCGGGGGCCACAAAGCATGTGACCGTTAAGGATTCCACTCTCCCCGAAGACTTGCTGGCCCTAGGCTTCCGTCGGTACCGCTTTTTGGGCGAGAAGGATGAACAATACCCAGTCCTTGAGAGATCCCTCGGTGACAATGGAGGTAGTTACCGGAGGGTCCTGATTATTGTACTTAGGATATTTGCATGTTCTTATTTTTCTTCCCCTGTCGTTTGAACCCTTCGGTCTGACCTCGTTGTTTGTTTTGTAGGTGTCAACATGGACGTCTCCAGCTTTGCTGCTCTGAAGAAGAAGCTGGCCAAGGAGCCAAAAAAGAAGAAGGAGACGGGGGTTCAGAAACCTGTCGACGAATTCTTCAAGAACGATGGGGCGTCTCAGGTCCCGGAGGGGGAGGGTCCCTCCAAAGCAGTTGATACCGGTGCTGGTGCCGGGGGCTCCAAGGGTGAGGAGCTCAAGAGAAAGAACTCTGGGAAGGGTGTCGCCCCCTCGGAGAACAAGAAGCAGAAGAAGGGGGCCTCCGGGAGGAAGGATGCCCCCATTGTGATAGTTGAGGAGCAGCCCTCCTTGAATCCTTCTGCTACTACCCCCCCTCGATCTCCTCCATCCCCCATAGACGAGGGGGTCCGCCCGGCGGAGATCATCCAGTTCCCCGTCAAGTCGGGGACTTCAGTCATGCATGGCACCCTTCACCCCGTCGGCTTCATGAGGGGGGTGATGGCCCCGAAGGATAGGTCAGTGTTGGCCCGCCTTGGGGATGACATCCTCGACTATAAAGTCGCGAGCTACAGCACTATGGTGAGTTGTGTTCCCCCTTCTCTTCCCTTCTATTCTTGGATGATAACTCCCGATGGCTCATCCTGATGCTATATTTTTGTCTATGTGTGTTTACTTGCAGGCTGCCATGGCTGCTTCCGAGCAGGCCCGAAGGGTTGAGCAGCTGAGGATCGCCAAGTGTCAGGCGGACGAGGCTCTGAAGAAAGCCGACGAGAAGAGGGTTGCCCTTCGGCAGAGGGTTGCTGATGCGGAGGCAGCCCTTCGGCTGGAGAGGGAGGTCATGGAGCAAAGGCTACAAGATGCCGAAGCTAAAGGGAAGGCTGCTGCTGAAGAAGCCGCCGTTGTTGCTGCCAAGGCTGCTGCCGAGGCCGCTGAGATAGAAAAGGCCGAGGCGGTGGCCGATGCTGGGAAGAAAGCAATTGAATCTTTCCTCGCCGGGGGCTGGGCGGCGGCGGACCACGAGGGGTGGGTGACCTCCGTGGTGGAGCAGAAGGTGGACTCCTGGGTGAGAGGTCCCGGTGCTGAATGGCTTGCCCGGAAGGGTAAGGACTATTATGATGGTGGCGAGTTTTTCACCCAAAACCTCGTCTATCGGAGGCTAGCCAGGCACCTCAAGATAGAGCCGAAGAAATTTGACCCATCGGCATATGGCCTCCCGCCTCTGCAGCCTGATGTGAGAGTTCCCCTTCCCGAGGGAGAAGAGAGGCCAGATCTAGAAGACTCTGAGCTGATGGGCGAGGGCGGCAACGAGGAAGCCGAAGACGATGCGGCCTCGAGGCCGAAGGAAGATGCCGCCAAGGATGCATGAACTTAGAATTTTCCCAAGTATAAACTCTTGTAATAGCTCGTAGGTTTTCGGCTTCGGCCATGCCTTGTAAACAAACATCTCTTGTACTCTGAAATGTTCCTGCTGATGAATGATTGTGCCTTCGGGCTTTTGTGAATGAATGCTTCCTTCATTTTGAACTTGAATGTATGCCCCTGTTTCTCTCCGTGTTTGTGTATGAATGATTTTTCCTTTTCCTTGTCTGGTTTTCCGAGGGCCACCAGTTTGTGGACTTAGGAATTTTTCTAAGTAAACTTGATCAGAACCCTTCGGATGTAGAGTAGAATCAGCCCCCCTCGGATGTTCGTAGCAGTGAGGCCGAGGGATAAAATGAATTA